CCACTGCACCCCTCAGGTCTAAGAACACACACACACCCTCCACTGCACCCCACAGGTCTAAGAATACACACACACACATACCTTCTAACTCAAATGTACATATGTGTGTGTTTAAAAGAAACCTCTGGCTGCTCTGTAATCTCCTTTTCTCACTTATCAGTATCACCTTTTGTGTTTTCACACAGTTAAAACTACTGTTCCATGGGGGCTGGAGAGATGACTCAGCACTTAGGAGCACTAGCTGCTCTTGCAGAGGACCTGGATTTGATTCCCAGCACCCACATGGCTGCTAACAACCATCGGCAACTCCAGTTCCAGGGGAATCTAATGTCTTTTCTGACCTCCGCAGGCACTGCACGACACATGAGCACTTACACGCATACAGGCAATACACTCATATACATAAAATTAAAATAACATATAAAACTTTTTAAAATACTACTCCAGGGCTAGGAATGTAGCTCAGTGGTAGAGCATTTGCCTACCATGTGTGAGGCCTTAAGTTCAAATGCAAACACTGAAAAAATTATACCATTTCAAATCATTATTAGTGGCTGCATTTCCCCCAAAGATAGACCCAGTATATCTGATTTTACATCTCCCTATTCCTGGACATCCAGTTGTTTCTAGTTTGAGATTTGGGAAACCAGAGCTTTAAGGAACATCCTGTAGATGTGCTGTCTCACAGCAGTGTCAATGGAATGGGTGACTCGCAAGGCAGTGGTGATTCACAGGCAGTGCCCACACTTAGAGAGCTGCTCCCCTGTAGTCCAGAACACTGGGGTTGGCCGGAGACCAGAGGAAGAAGGGCCAGGACATGAATCTGGGATTGCTCCAGAACTAGCCTAATTCCATAGACTCCTGACTCCACTCTCCCAGAAGGAGCCAACTTCGGGCCACCTGTCCTCCCAGTCACGAGCTGTTTCTAAATGCCTTGGCCTTGTTTGGACCGGACTCTCTTCTGCTACAAATGGTCCCAGGACTTGCACAGTGAGTGGCAGCTCTGACCAGAGTGTCCCCATGTTGACACTAGAGTCCCCTCCTGTGTGAGCAAACATTGTCCACCACAGATGAGGCCTCCGCTCAGGATCAAAAGCTGTGAGTGGAAAGGTGGAGGCAGGGACCTTGATCTACTGAGAAAGGTCCCCAGTGCCTGCATCACACTGTGCATCCTTCCTTGCTCAAGAAACGGGACACAGGCTCCCCCACCTTCCCATCCCCTCTTGGGATGCATCAGCTACTTTCCCGCCACTGTAACAAACACCTACTAGAAACAACCTAAGGATTTATTTTACCTCACTGTTTCAAAATTTTTCCGTCCATCAAGGTGGGGGAGGTATGACGGGGCATCTCAGCACATGGCAGAGGGAGCCTGGGAGCATGTAGCAGAGGCTGTTCACATCACGGAGGGCCAGGAAGCAGAGTGCACAAGCCAGGATGTAGGCAGGGATAAAACACCCCCAGAGCCTGCCCTCAGTGATGACGTACTTTCTCCACTTTCCAAAGTTACCAAAACCTTCCAAAACATGCCACCAGCAGGGACCAGGCTTCAGTACATGAGCCCATGGGACACAGTTCAGACTGAAACTAAAACACTAAGTGACCAAACCTTTACAAATACACATGTTTTTCAGGTAACCTCATTCCTAACTGGACCTGCTACGAACACCCCTCAGCCCCTGCCCCATGGGAAACCATTGTTACCCACTTGCTGGGTTCCCTCCGTAGACAGTATAAACTGACCTTCCTCTGTGCTGGGACCAAATTCCTAACAAAGGAACTTGAAAAGGGAGGATTTTTTTTGGTTCAGGGTTTGAGGGGACAGAGTCCATTTGTGGTGGAGAAAGTGTGGCAACAGGTGTGTGTTTCCTGGTGGCAGGAACTTACAGCAGCTGCTTGTATTGTATGTCAGTCACAGAGAGGGCTGCTGGCTCTCTCATTTTATGTTCAGTCAAGCGCTCCAGCTGGTGGGATAGTGGTGTCCACATTCAGGGTGGATCCAGCCTTCTCAGCTAATCCTCCCTAGAAACACCTTCAGACACATCAAAAGTATCCCTCACTAATAACCTGGCTCTCTCTCTCTCTCTCTCTCTCTCTCTCTCTCTCTCTCATGTGTTTGTGTTCCTGAGCCTGTGTGGGTGTACCAGGCCCTCCTGTCTGGCCCCACCCACCCACCACTAGGGTTACAGTTCTGTGCTGCAGTGCCAAGATCTTCCTTGGGTGCTGGGGATCGAACTCAGGTCCTCGTGCTTGTATGACAAGGCACTTTACCCACTGAGCCATCTCCCTAGCCCCCTACTGCGTATTTCTTAATTCTATCAAGTTGAAAATCAGCATTAGCCTTGGAAGATTGTATATGTACACACATGTGGGAGGGTCTCCAGCCCGTTTTTTTCTGACTTGGCTGACACTGCATGCTCGCCTGTACCAATTTTCTCCTCAGTGCTGACATAGCCTGCTCTTAGAGGCTCATCCCAGAACTTGGTCCATCTCAGAACACAGAGCTGCTTTGTGGCTGATGTGCTTCTGGTGTGACTGGACCAATGCCATGGTAGATGTGGAAGTTTTGGCTATCACCGACCATCACGCAGTATGGCATTGCATCTGGAACTAAGCTCAGCACAGATGAGGAGAGCAGGCACTGGGTGTTGGTCAGTTTTGCTTTTTTGTAACTGTGACAAATGCCCAAGATAAACAGTTTAAAGGAGGGGAGATTCAGTCCATGGCCACTGGGCTCCATTGCTAAGGGCCCTTGGTCATCAGGCTCTGTTGTTATGGGACGGTGGTGAAGCATCTTGGTCATGGAAGCATGAGGCAGAGAAGGAAAACAGGAAGAGGGCAGGACCAGATTCATCCCAGTGACATATTCCCCCTAATGCCCCTGCCTTCTAATCGCCCATCCAGTATGAACTCAGGTAGACGAACCCAGTGATGAGGAGTTAGCACCTTCAAGATCCAATCACATCTCAGCTCCACCATCTGCTGACCAGGCCTTCAACATGTGATCATGCCTTGCGGGGGGGTAGGGGGCACACTATACCTGAGCTCCAACCTCAGGCCATCTGGGGGCCCAGGGTTTGTAGCTGTTTATTGCTCCAGCCCCTTTTACCTCCTAGAGCCTGCCGGAGCACAGAAGTCTCAGCTCACCCCTGTCTCGGGGTTGAAATACGGCCTCTTGGGTGGCTTTTTAACTGTATTTCCTGCACAAGTTGCATGGGCGTACGGAAGCCAGTTTGTGGGCTCCCTAGGGCCCAGCTGGACAGACACAGTGACCTTAGGCTCCCTTCCCAGTGGTTTCATCCCTCGCTGGCTCAAAGATACTTCAGTCCTTCTAGTTCACAGCTGGTCCTCCCTGCCTGCGGCTACTTGAGAGACCATTTTCATACCTCCTCAAGAACACATTAGGGGGCCTTGTCCTCGAGGGCAGTCAGCCCCCCTCTCCCAGCCTCCCCACTCTTGCTGTGGTGCTTCAGTAACTGAGCTGAGACCCTGCATTATCTCACCTTTACAGCTTTATCTCACTCTTGTGTTAGAACAGAGGCTCCTGCTGCTGCCTTTGTTAAAGACCTTCTTCCCAGAAGAACAAACAGCTTTCAAAGGAAAGAAAGCCTGCCTAAACATTTGCCTTCCTTTCCAAAAATTTCAGCTGCTCAAGGAATCGACAAATGAAACGGTGCTTTTGGTCTAGTGTGGGATCTCTCTTCCAAAATTCTGTCTCTCTTCATTGAGCCTGGTCTCTGTGGTCTGAGGGAAGAGTGAGCTCAAGGCTGCACACAGGTTCAGGCACAAGCCTAAGAGGCTCTGGATCAAGGTTTACAGCAGCCAGAACAATGTTGTATTCTGTTGGCGGGGGGGGGCTGGCATCTAATATTTTGCATTTACCATTTGTGGTTTTGTTTTTCTTTTCCACTAAAATATTTTACTAGAAGTTATGAATAAAGTGTGGTAGGCAGTATAAGACACCGAAATGTAGGCAGAGGCAGGCGGATCTCTGAGTTTGAGGCCAGCCTGGTCTACATAGCAAGTTCCAGGCCAGCAGGGGCTACAGGGAGACCCTGTCTCAAAAAGTCCAAAAAAAGGACACAGAAATGTGTCTAATACACATCACTTTTAGACAGGATGCGCTCCAGGGGCTGGGCTGATCCTCAGCAGGTAAGGTGCTTGCCACACAATCATGAAGGTTTGAGTTCCATCTCCAGCATCCAAGTAAAAGATGGGCACAGCAGCATGCACCCTGTACTTCCAGCACTGGGAAGATGAAGGCAGGAGGGTCTCTGAGGCTCACTGGCCAGCCAGCCTAGCTGAAACCACGAACTCCAGGATTAGCCGGACAAGGTGAAGACCACTGGGGTAAACACCTGTCCTAGTTACCTTTAATTGTCAACTTGCCACAGCCTAGAGTCATCTGAGAGAAAAGCCTTGATGGAGGAATTACCTCCATCAAATTGTCCTGTGTGCACGTCTGTGCCATACTGTCTTGATTGTTAAGTCATGGAGGAGGGCACAGCCCACAGTGGGTGGCACCATCCCTAGGCAGGTGCTATGAGAAAGCTAGCTGAGCATTGTCTATGAGCGAGCCAGCAAGTAGGTGCCTCCAAGGTTTCTGCTTCATCCTCCTGCCCTGACTTCAGCAATGGACTGTGACCTAGAAGCCTCAGCCAAATAAACCCTTTCCTCCCCAAGTTATTTTGGTCAGAGTGTTATCACAGTAACAGAAAGGAAATCAAACCAATGCCCAAAGTCTTCTAGTGTTCATATGCATGCAGGTACACACACACACACGCACATCACACAACACACACACACACACACACACACACACACACACACACACATCACACACCAAAAAAAAAGGAAAAGATATCCACCCTAGACCATGGCTGGTGGGGAGGTGGTTATTTCAGCACACATTGCCAGGCCTCATGTCCCAGGCACTGTTATGGACATGCCTCATATGGCTGTGGCTGCAGGTGACTAGCCCCCTTACATTTCTACACCAGGTCCTCCCATCCCCGCCAGTACCACAGACAGCCCAGGGCTTCATCAGCTGGCGATCTGGGGTACCAGGCCTGAACAAGTACTTGGAGCAGGATCCAGAGATCTACAGCTGCAAAGGAGCCTATGCTCGAGAGCTGCACTGGCCGGAGCAAGGAGTGCACTGAGCGCCGCCAGGCTCTGCCACCAGCCTCACCCACACTAAGCAGTGTCTGGGTGAGCTCCCGGCATCTCCAAGCTTGTTTCCACATCTCTGCTCAAGCAATGCTTTGAAGAACAAAAGTCTACCTTAGGCATAGTCATTCATCCATGACTCCCTTCTGGAATGTTCTTGGCTAATGTAATGAATGAAGTCAAATAGATGCCCTGGTTTGTTTGTTTGTTTGTTGATACTGTGTGAATTCCTAGGTATGACTTTGAAAAACAGTAGTAAGTTTAAACATACTTGCCTATGACTGGGGATGTAACCCAGCTGGAAGAGTGCCTGTCTAACATGCACAAAGCCCTGACAGCTCATACATGGGCTGTGATAGCACATAGCTGTCATCCTAGCACTTGGGAGGTGAAGGGAGAAGAATTAGAAGTTCAAGGACATCCTCAGCATATCAAGTTTGAGGCTAGCCTGTGCTACAAGAGATCATGTCAAAACAAAACAAACAAGCAAACCAAAACCAGGAAAAAAAAAATCTCTTGTCCAGTACTAGATGTGGTATAGGCCTATCGTTATAGTTGCTTGGGAGGCCGAGGCAGGAGGATCACAGATTCATGGATTACCTGGGCTACCAAGTGAGCACAAGGCCAGCCCAGGCAACTCAGTAAGATCTGGTTTCAAAATAAGAGGGTTGGAGATGTAGCGCCATGTTGAGTGCTTACCTAGCATGTTTGCTTACCTGACAAGTCCCTACACTGAATCCCTGTAACCACAGCCCCTAAAAACCTCATCTACACTTCTGTGGTCCTTCTCACTCTCCTCTTGATGAGATTGCTGGCCTGAAGCATCCATGCCCAGACACCCAAGAGGAAAGAGATAGTTCGAACTGCTGGACTCCTCCTCGAAGTATCTGTAGTTAAGTCCACAGCTTCAAGGACAGAAACCAGGCCAAGCCCTCCGAGTGGATCCCCAGAAGTGCCTTCCCAAGTTCACTGAGCTCTTCTGCCCTGGTGGTGACCAGCCAGACATCCCCACCCAGCATTGCCAGTGCCTGACGGCTCGCTGAGCTCTCCTGCCCTGGTGGTGACCGGCTAGACACCCCCACCCAGCATTGTCAGTGCGTGACTGGCCATTCCCACACTACAGATATCTACCCCTCAACTAGCATTTCCTTCTATCCACCCCGATCAGTTCTGTAATTTTCTACCTGATCCTCAAACAGCAGGTGGGGCGGGGCGGGTGGGGGCAGTCAGGTGGTCAAAGAGGAAAAGCAACCCATGACAGGATGTCTTGAACTGTATCCTGAAAAGCAGGTCAGGGAGAGTTAAGGACACTGTGGGAGCTGGTTCCTGGTCCCCCGCTCCCCCAGCCCCACAAGATCTCATATAGTCCAGGCTGGTATGGAAGTTGACAGATAGCTGAGGATGAACTTGAACTTCTGATCCTCCTGCCTCCACTTCCCAAATGCTAGGATTATAGGTTTGAGCCACCACAGTCAGTTTACTCAATACCAGGGACAAAATCCACAGCCTCAGGCATGCTAGGTAAGCACTCTCCCCGCTGAGCCACAGCACAGTCCTGGCCTTCTACTTCTGATAGGAGCAGGTCAGTGACCTCTACTGTCCTGTCCTGAGCAGGATTGGGTAGCCACACATGAGACATTTGTCTTCCCCCTGTCTGCACCATGGGCAGGAAGAACTCTTCCTGTGTCTGGCTGATGGGGCCTGCTGAGCCTCCCTTTGCTGGAGCCCCTGCCAAGGCCTGGACTGCCATCCACAGACACTTGCCTCCATATCCAAGTGGGACAGACCTGCTAAAGAATCCCAGGATTTCAGACCCGGGGCTTTCTCAGTGGTACAAGTTCAAATTCAGGCCACCAGTTTGTGCTTCAGTGGTACAGCCAATCCAGATCAGGAAGGCGGCTGGCACACAGCTTCCGTCTTGGACCACATGGTTTTCCCATTTCCTGACCCGGCAGCAACTGCATGAAGCAGTCATGTGATCTGCTGGGCTCTGGAGATGTTCCCAGCTGCCCAGACATTTAGCCTGATGTAGACTAAACAATCAGATGCTTGGCCAAGCCTGTCCCGACTCCAACCCAATGTTTTGGCATCTCAGTCATTGCTGCAGGCAAGACATCTGCCCCTGAAGAAACACATGTCACTTCTTATGATCAGTGTTCACCAGAGTGGAGCAAAATGGCCTGTCCAAGCCCCCCCCTCCCCAGGCCCTTCAAGGATTGTGTTCCTGTGGATGTCCCCCAGTGAGGCGGTTCACAGCTTGGTCAAGGATATCCCTCTGATGACAGGTGGCACATGTCCTAATTCGTGATTGAAAAGCGCCTGGGAGTCATCTTCTTGTTTTCTGTGAACTCAGGGCAGGAACCTGGAGGCAGGAGCTGAAGTACAGGCCATGGAGGAGCGCTGCCTGCTGGCTTCCTCCCCGCCTGCCAGTGCTCAGCCTGCTTTCTTATGCAACACAGGCCCACCTGCCCAGGGCTGGCACCACCCACAGTGGGCTGGACCCTCCCACATCACTCAGCAATCAAGAAAATGCCCCACAGACATGGCCACTGGTCAGTCCAACTGCCAGACTGGTGGCAGTTGTCTGTCTTTAATAATTTGTTCATCATCTAACCACATATGTGCTCTGATTTAAAGACATGAACAAGAGATGTGTCTATGGGTGTCCTGTTTCACCACCACCCCCCTTCTCCTGGGTTCCGGCTGACCTCTGGCATAAAGCAATCAGGCCTGTGCTCATGGGCACCTAATAGGCCCAAAACCCCCAGTCATTGGCCCAGTTGAGAATCAAAGTGGACAGCTCTCCAGGATTCAATTACTGTGTACCGTTGCAAACTTGACATTTAATCTATGGAAATTCACCTCTTTGTGGGTGTCTAAGCTGGCCCATAAATGTCACCACACCCTGTAAAATACCACAGCACTTCCAAGGTCAAGACGCAGCTGGTGAACTCATGCCAGAGAAACTGACATGCATTATAACCATGAACCACCAGCCGGCCTCGTTCCAAATGAGCAGACCCAGAAATGACGCAAAATGGAATGGGGTTGGGGACTCAGAGCTTGTTCCGTCACAAGCATGTTTCAGCCTAAGACAAGTGAGAAACTCCAGTGTCTGAGTTATAAGAAATGAAATAATTCGACAGAAGATGAAGCCGCTGGGAAAATGCGGTAGTTTCTGTCAACTTGATGCAAACCTAGACACACTTGGGAAGAGGGAATCTCAACTGCGGAATTTCCTCCATGAGACTGGCCTGTGACCATGTCTATGAAGAATTTCCTTTTTAAAAAATATTTTTTAGCCGGGCGCACACCTTTAATCCCAGCACTCGGGAGGCAGAAGCAGGTGGATCTCTGTGAGTTCAAGGCCAGCCTGGTCTGCATAGCGAGTTCCAGGACAGCTGGGGCTACAGGGTGACCCTGTCTCAAAAAGACCAAAATATATATATATATATATATATAATTTTTATTTTATGTGTATGAGTGTATTGCCTGCATGTATGTAAGTACAACCATGTTGTACAATGCCCTCGGACATCAGAAGAGGGTGTCAGACCCCTTGGAACTGAAGTTTCAGATGATTGTTAGCCTCCATGTGGGTGCTGGGATCCAGACCTGGGTTCTCTGCCAGAGCAGCCATGCTCTTAACACTGAGCCATCTCTCCAGCCCCTATGATGCATTTTTTTGGTTGCTAATTGATATGGGAGGGCCCAGCCCATTGTGGGTGGTCTATCCCTAAGCAGGTACTGCATAAGAAAGGTAACTGAGCAAGCCAGGGAAGCAGGCCAGTAAGCAGCGTTCCTTCATAGTCCCTGCTTCAGCTCCTGCCTCCAGGTTCCTGTCTTGAGTTTCTGCCCTAACCTCCCTCAGTGATGGACTCCAAACCTATAAGATGAAATAAACCCTTTCCTCCTCAGGTTGGTTTTGGTCAGTGTTTTATCACAGTGATAGAGAAGCAAACCGGGACAGAAACCAGCTGTTATGCATTGTAACAAGGACAACTGTCCCCAGGAATGCTGAGCCCCAAACCCCTAGAACAAAATGCTTGAGAGTTTAGGAAATAATACGTTTTTGAGATCACATATGCTGTATATTACATAACCCTCTGCCAGGGTCTTGGCAGCCCCACAAAATTAAATCCATTAATACTTTTGTTGAAACTTAGAACTATTAACGCCAATTGGAATAAAGGCTCTGAGGGGTCTCATATCAGTTTGGTCCAAGCTTTATCCCCAAATGAGGGCTGGTGTCAAACTAAGTGAATATTTCTAGGGTTTGGTGCATTTTGGAGTTTGGGGTGGGACGGATAAGAGGTTTTAGAATAAAATGTTGTAGTCTCGGAGGATACTATAGAGGTGATTCTTTCAGATCCACCTAATTCGTCCTAATTAGGAGCCAGGCAAGCTCACGCCTTTATGAAATTATACAAGGATTCTTTTGGTTGTAAGAGGACGTGACCCACCCCAAGCCAGAATACAAAGGGATTTATTGACTGAGAAGGCCAAGGGTATCACACAGGCTTTAGATGCTGTTTGGTCAGGCTTTCAAAGACTGTCTCTAGGGCACATGATCTTTCTGCCCAGTCTACTTTGGCCTGATGTATCTGACTGCGTCCAGCTACAAGAGACATATCTCTCCATGGTAACAACAATGAGGCTTCAGGCTGGAGAGATGGCTCAGCAGGTAAAAGCACTGGCTACTCTTGCAGAGGACCTGGGTTCAAATCCCAGAAGCCAAATGGCGCAGCTAACAACTGTCCGACTCCAGGGGATCTGATATCCTCTTCTGACCTCTGCAGGCATTGCATGACACAGATGCACTTACATCCACGCAGGCAATACACTCATATACACATAAAATTAATACTAATATATGACAGGTGCGGTGGCACACACCTTTAATCCCAGCACTCGGGAGGCAGAGGCAGGAGGATCTCTGTGAGTTCCAGGCCAGCCTGTTCCACGTAGTGAGTTCCAGGCCAGCTGGAGCTAC